AAATAAATATGAAGGTATTGTGTCCAACTACAACTAAAAAATAAATATTAAATAAATAAAAGCTGATCACAAGCTTGAGAGGTAGAAGAGCTTCCGGGGAAACTGTGGTTCTCCATCCGAATGCTCGAATTTTTTTAAAAAAGGTCAAGTACTTCCTTGAGCTGCAGGAGAGAAAGAACCTAGTTTTTAACTTATTAAAAAWTTTTTTTCTAGTAATAAGGCATGAAGAGCCAATTATTATTAATTTGAGTTGAATAAAATATCCTTGCCAAAAATAACAAAAGAACAACCCCCATTAAAAATGGGCAAAGGCCTTGAATATACATTCTCCAAAGAATCGTAGCAAATGAATAATGAAAACACATGAAAAGATGCTCAACATCATGGATCATTGGGAAATGCAAATCAAAACCTCCATGAGACCACTTCACACCCATTAGAATAGCTTCTATTTAAAGAGAAGAAAGCAAAGGGGAAGGAAGTATGTGTTGATGATGGGGAGAAATTGGAACCCTGTACGGGGCTAGGGAGATGTAAAACGAGGCAGCTGCCGTGGAAAACTCTGGCAGCTCTTCAAGATGTTAAACATAGAATTACCATATGATCCCGCAATTTCCACTTCTGGGTGTACACCCAAAGCAGGGACTCAAACAATTATGTATTCACCCAAGGGCCAAGCAGCATTATTTACAACAGCCAAAAGATGCAAGCAACCCAAGTATCCATAGATAGAGGTAGATAAATGCACATTGGTACACACACGTGGTAGACTATTTATTCAGCCTTTAAAAAAGAATGAAATTCCATCACATACAATAAGAGGGATGAACTTTGAGGACATCATGCTCACTGAAATAAGCCAGTTGCAAAAGGACAAATGTGGTGTAATTCCACTTATGTCAAGTTCTAGGTTAGTCAAAAGCACAGAGACAGAAAGTAGAAGGGTGCTTGCCAAGGGCTGGCTGGAGGGGAAACGGGGAGTTGGCGTTTTATTGGAGTTTGGGTTTGGGAAGATGAAAGTCCTGGAAATGAATGGTGGTGATGGTTGAACAGTAATAGGAATGTACTTGATATCACCAGACACTGGAGGTGGTTAAAATGTCAAGTTTTATGTCCCACACACAAAAATCAAAAATGCAGAAAACGAAAGCAAAAAATTATTCTAGTGACTTTCCATGATGCTCCTCCTATTCACTGGTGAAGGCCCAACTGCTGAAGGGCTCCCTGGTGTTCACTTGCACCTTTGACTGCTCAACCTGGGAGCTCCCAACGTCAGCAGTGGAATCCCCCTACCATGGATTTTAGGAACACCATCCTCACAGTTAAGGAGGAAATAATTGTAAGGGAGCAGTGTATGAAGCACTCACTGGGTTGGGGAAATGATTTGATGGGGTAACAGGGGAGACTATCCGTTAGGGAATGGTGTTCTAGTCACCTTTTGTGTTCTTGTGACCAATATACCTGACAAGAACAACAAAGAGGAGGAAAAGTTTATTTGGGCTCACAGTTTTAGAAGTTCAGTCCATGGTCGGCCCAGTCCATAGCTCTGGGCCCAACGTGAGGCCTAATGACTTGCATCAGGCTTGGTGGAGGAAAGCAGCCAAGGAAAGACATAATAACCTGGAAGTCAAGAGAGAGCTCTGCTCACCAGCAATGAAACATACTCCCAAAGGCACACCCCCAGTGGCCTAGTCCTCCAGCCACACCTACCTGCCTACAGTTACCACCTTGTGAATCCCTGTCAGGGGACTGATCTTTCAGTTAGGGTACACCTCTCATAACATTCTTGCATTGTCTCACACATGAGCTTTTGGGGCACACCTCAAATCCAAACCATAACAAACGGAAAGCGAAAAAGGAGCAAAGATCAAGGGCACAGCCTCCAGCCCCTTCCTGGACTCTGTATCTCTCAGTGGCCCACATGGTTCTGGCTACAACGGATGGGGGGGGGGTGTTTGAATGAGGAGGAAAGGAAAGTTCTACTCACTCTTCAGACTTGCCAGATGAAGTTCCCCACTGTTATAAACAGTATGGAGAAGCTAGTTCACCCTTAACCTGAGGCGGTACCGGAGGAATAAGAAACAGGTAGGCTTAAAGCTGACTTAAGAAAGGACACTTAATTACAAAGCGCTCTTAATTACACCCCCCCACACACACACACATTAAACAGATTAAGCAAAAAGATGATATCTTGAGGGCTGGGGATGTGGCTCAAGCGGTAGGGTGCTCGCCTGGCATGCGTGGCCTGGGTTCGATCCTCAGCACCATAAACAAAGATGTTGTGTTCGTCGAAAAGCTAAAAAATAAATATTAAAAAATTCTCTCTCTCTCTCTCTCTCTCTTAAAAAAAAAAAAACAAAGATATCTTGAGGCACCCATAATTTATGGGATTTTCTAGTGTCTATTTTTTTTTCTTCTTTTTTTGGTACTGGGGAGTGAACCCACTTGACCACTGAGCCACATTCCCAGCATTTTTTTTTTAAGAGAGAGAGAGAATTTTTTTTTAATATTTATTTTTTAGTTTTCGGTGGACATAACATCTTTATTTTTATGTGACCTGAGGATCGAACCTAGCGCCCCGCGCATGCCAGGCGAGCGTGCTACCGCTTGAGCCACATCCCCAGCCCCCGCCCCTTTTTTTTTTTTGAGACAGGGTCTTAAACTTGTGATCCTCCTGCCTCAGCCTCTGGAGTTGCTGGGATTATGGCCATGCACCACCTCATCTGGCTCTTTCTGGTGCTATTGGTCAGATAAGAAAGACCATGTCAGCCTGAGGATCCTGAGAGTAACCAAACACCAGAAACTGTCTTGAGAGATCACCAGACTGATATCATTCTTACATGCCTTTCCATACCCACCCCTCACCAAATTTCCTTTAAAAGAAGAGCTGGGAACCTCCAAACCACATCTCTCACTCTCGAGAAGACCCACATTCTCCTTTGAATATGTATTTTATTGCCTCACTCCCAAAGGAGTCTGTTTGTGAGATCGCCCTCATTCTCCCTTGGATTCTTTTCTAATGCACATGCCAAGAACCCTCTTCTCTCCAGGAACCCCTCAGACCCTTCTTCAGAGATATCTCTTCTCCCATGACAAACCCATCTGACCTCTGCTTATCCTCATGCTGTGACATCTCAACAGTGTTTATGTTCCCGTTGGATGAGGCTGGGGAGAGATGTGTTGGCGACATCCCCCACCCCTGTTATAGTACCCTCACCTCTTTCAGCCTCCCTGATACCCTTCTCCCCTACGCCCTCTGTTTTCCCTGACTTCTCTGTGGCTCCCCTGATCCTCTGCCCTCTCTTCTGTTTACAGCACCACCTACTCACTTTCCTGGCTTGGTCCCCTGGGCTTCCCTTTCAGCTTGAGAGCTGGAAGACAGAATGTTCCCCTCTTCCCCAGGAGAGGCTGGGGCCTCTATCCACTCGGTCACCTGTGTCTCATTTATTTCCTCTCCCAGATTTCTTGGTGAAGGAAGGGCTCCTTTACCAAACTGTGGCTGACTCTTCTTAAATTTGCACCAAGACTCCCTTAAGAATCTAAAATGTGCATCTAAAATGGACCTCGGGCATTCCTGTGGCAGCTAGAGACCCTATTGATAACAAAGAGGAAAGCTAACAGTGGGCCAGGAACTACTAATGATGATGACAAAAATAGCTGACCCAGGGACGCTGCCCAGAAGTTTTCCAAGCAGGCTATCGCTGCGATTCGCCTGAACAACAACCAGCAAGCACAGGAACGGGCTGTGCTCACTCGCCTGCTTTAAGGATGCTTCTGGACAATTTGCTCCCACTATCTCATTAACGTCCACTGAGCGGCTGCTGAGGGCTCTGGCTTGGCCCCCTCTCAGTGAAGGAACTGAGAAGCAGCAGGCAGGGCTGCCTCCCAGTGGCCTGCAGTAGCCTGCTCCAGCTGCCACCCAGATCTCAGATGGCTCAGGCTGCCCCCATAGCCCTCCCTGGCCCTGCAGCTGGTGACTCAGCAGGGGGAGGGGGCGCACAGGGGTGGGAGGGAGGACTTAGGGCCTGAGGGGCCAGGCTTGGTGACATGTCCAAGCCAGGAAGCTGAGTCCCCAGAATCAGCTCAGCAGCAGAACTGTAATCTAATCAATTCACAGTAATTCCTTTAATGTCACCGAATCCTCCTGTGTGCTTCAGGCTCCCTAACATACAGCCTAAACCAAAGGCTAAGCGCCACAGCCAAAAGACCCCTTTCCCTTGTATGCTACTTGCACTCACCCCAAACCCAAGCAGTGACACAGAAGCATCCAGAGCCACGTGGGTGGAGGTTTCTTTTATTCATTTTGATTTTGGAGAGGAAGGGCTACAAGGTGGTGTCCATACATCAGGCACTGGAATGACCCTCTGCACATGTAGAACACATGGACGCCAACTCCAGGGAGCTACTGAGGAGCAGATGAGCGCCGMGAAGAGAAAGTCCCCACAGCTGCAAAAGCCCCCTCCCCCCATTTCTATTGGTTTCAAGACCCCCACCCCCACCCACCCCAGCTTGCCCTCCTCTTCTCCTAATCAGATCTTTCAGCAAAATGGGCTTTAATTCCTGTGGGGTTCAGAGCCCCACCCCCAATGCAAACATGCATCCCCTAGAGAGAAAGGGAAATCAACACAGCATGCTGGAAAGAAGACAACAGGCCTCGCTTTCTGTGACCCACCAGCTTGGGAGAAAGGATGCCTTCTCTAACACCAACCAGAGACRGGAAAGTGCATTTGGGCTGCGCCATCTTTCCTTTTCCCAAAGGCCCTGGGCGATATGGCCCTGCTGCCCATCTGCTGGCCCTGTCTGATTTTAAACAAGTTCAGCTAGGAGCCTTCCACCTCTTCCYTTGGGAAAAAGACACATGGGAGCTAACACATGTAGGGCTCAACAGAACATTCAAACAAACATTTCCACCCAAAACCCTCATCCTGTTCCCCCCAATGGCATTTCTGAGGTCAGAAGTCCCCCAAGCTGACTCCAATTCTCCCCAGCAATTGGTGGGCCCTATAGTATATTTAACTGCAGCAACCCCTCACCCAGCCTCCCTGCCTCCCCCCAGGGTGGCCTTGGGTTTTTCTCTAGGTCTCCCCATGGCTTGCTGTGGTGACCTGACTAGGAGGTATCTGGATGGCAGGAGAAGTGTCAGGTGCCTTTGCTTTCGGTCCTCTCCTCGTCAGCTGTCTGAGCATTGCTGACTGTGCGAAGCTGCCCCTGGGCAGCAGGCTTCACCGACAGGACCAGGCGCTTGCGAAATGTCTCGCAGAGCACAATGTACACAAAGGGGTTGAGGCAGCTGTTGGCGTAGCCCAAGCTGATGGCCGCGTTGTACAGGTAGACAAAGGTGAGAGTTGGGCGGCTGATGGACAACTGGGTCAGCTGCAGCACATAGTAGGGCGCCCAGCACACAAAGAAAACCAGGCAGATGGCGATGGCTGTGCGGGTCACCCTCTTTGTCCGCAGCCGGATACTGCGTTGAGAGGCAGGGGCCACCGAGGAGGTCATGCGCTGCAGGATCCTCACATAGGCAGCGGTAATGACCACAAAGGGCAGGGCAAAGGCCAAGAAAAACTGATAGAGCGTGAACCAGTAGAGGTCAGTGTCTGGGTTGGGCAGGCGGATGCCACAGCCCACAGCACCCCCAGGGAAGGGGATGAGCCTGGCGTAGAGCCACACTGGGGTGATACTGATGAAAGAGAGGGCCCACAGGAGGCAGATCACCAGGGTAGCCACTGAGGGCTTCCGGAACTTGGTGGAAGAGATGGGGTGGACCGTGGCCAGGTAGCGGTCAATGGCCATGGCGGTCAGGATATAGGTGCTGGTGAACTGACTGTTGGCGTCCATGGCTGTGATGAGGGTGCACATGGTCTCCCCAAAGTGCCAGACGCCATTGCCCATGAGCTGGTGGATCATGAAGGGCATGCCCAGGAGAAAGAGGAGATCCACCACGGAGAGGTTGATAATGAAGATATCAGGGACGTTGCTGCACCAGTGCAGCTTGGACTTCTTCACCACTGCAAAGATGACCGTGGAGTTCCCCACGATGCCCAGGAGGCAGATGGTGCCGAACACTGAAGGCATGATGATGTTGATGTAGGAGACCCTCCCCACGCGAGGAGGTGACACTGGGGACAGAAGGAGTAAGTGTTCCACGTGACATTGCCTCTGCTCCGGCTCCACCCCCAGTGGACTCTGGCTTCCCTTTCACCCTCCCCACTGTCTCAGCTCGGGGCCCACATTCATCTGGAACTCTCTCCCAYCAGCCTTCCTCTCCACACTGTTGCTAATCCTGTCCCCTTGCCCTCCTCCACTGTTCCCTGGGAATCCTACCAGATTCTTCCAAGCCACTTGTGAGTTGAAAGACCCGATTCTTTGCCTCCTGTGTCTACTCTGAAGTCACAGAGTCAAGACCCACAACTGACTGATGGAGAATTAGTCTGTAGATGCCTGGGTTTCAACAGAAAATTTTGTCCAAAAAAAAAATAATCATCATCATGAGAGTATGTGTGTCTCTCTGTGTGTGTCTGTGTGTGCATGTATTGTCTATTTGCAACCCCTATCATTTCATCTCAGGGATTCCCTGGCTGGAGTCCGGGCACTAATTCCCGGGCACTGCTGTGGATGATGTCTCATGGAGCCTTTTGCTCACTGAGCCCAGGTCAGGTTTGCRGCCCTGGGAGCTCCAGACTCCTACCAGGAATTTCCTTGGCCAGTTCCCACACCAGCCTCAGCTTTCTGAGTCAGGCAGAGATGGAAGCTGAGTATTGCAACCCTGCAGCCTGAAAATTTCCTGCATTCAAACCCTTCTTCTTTTCCTTCCTTCCCTTCTCCTTCAAAGCTAGAATCCCAGGGCACTGCAGCTCTGGAAATGTCAGGAAGCTTAATTCACCAGAAAAGTTAATCCCCTCAAGCTCTGTGAAGTCTTTGCTTCCCACAGCTTCTGCCAGAGGGCAGTAAGTGCATCTCAGACCCCATTACCCCAGTGCGAGTAAGAGGAGCCCCCAGTGAGGTGAGTGAGCCAGGCTCCTGCTGTCTCCCACGCTACCCGGCAGCTTCTCCGGCTTGCTTTTCCAGCCCAGATTTTTTTCTGCAAAGCGTATTGGAACTCATCAGCAAGGCTTTCCCTGCCTCGATCACGGCTGGCCACCATCCCTTGCCACTTTTGAATGCGCCGCTGCCCTCTCCTCTGCTCCTGCCCCTTCTGCCCTGCCCACCTCTGTCCACTTCTCTCCTTCCCCTCCAGGCAAAGCCAACTGCAGAGCTTGTCTCCAAGAACTGTGATAAAGTTTCCCAAGCAGTTTGGCTCCTGGGTGAAACCTTCCCATTTCCCACCCCAGCCCATCAGGGGAAGGACTCCCCTCCCACTCCACTCACCGGCAGAGGTGAGGTTGTCAGGGCCATCGGAAGCATTGCTGGCATTGGGGCCAGTGGGCAGCAACAAGGCGTGCAGGTCCATTCAGCTGGTGCGGGTCGCCTGCTCCCCTGAGTTGAGCTCCTGCCCACCCACGCAGGCTGCGGCAACCTCCAGTGCCTGCCCCCCGCCTCGTCCCAGAGCAGAGCTGTGAACCCCGCAGTCTGGAAGGGGGTCTTCCTCCGCAGCCTGGCAGCCTCTGCTGCCTCCAAGCCCAACTGCTCTCCCCACTCCCTCCTTCCCGGCTCCCACTGACATCACCTAGACACATTAACATTCGGAGGCAGATGCACATTAACCTCTTCAGTCCCGGCTGCAGCTCCCGCTTCTGATTGCCTGCAGAGTGTAGGCACTGGGCTCAGGCGGCCCCATCAGGGAGGGGACTTCCTTCTCACTGGCTCTTGGGGCGGTCTTCTGTGCACACAGGGGCTGCTGCGGCTTGCCTTACATGAGGATCAAGGTCTCCTCAAAGGCAAGATGGTAAAAGCAAACAGGCTGCCTCCTTTGGGAGGCCAGGACAAACCTGGCAACCCCTGACCCCAGGTATAAGAAGTGGGGTCACATGCCAGGAGCCGGGGCAGGCTGTTCACAGAACTTGGGAATCAAAGGCATGTTTGCCCTCATGCACGCTGGAGGTCAGCCTGGGCTCCTTCCCTGTGCCTCGGTGGATTCCAAACCTCTTACTGGTGTGTTTGCCGGCATCCTTCAGAAGCTGAGGAGCTGTAGGCTGCTGAATGCCAGGGACTCAGGGGTGATTCAGGTCACTCCATGCTGGCAAGGGCCAGGGCCTCTGGAACCAGAAGAGACAAATTCCCATCTGCGCAGGATCAGCTGGGACTGAGTTTATAGATGTTTTATTTTTGTAAATGCTCTGAGGTCTTTGAAGTTTTACCTGGGAATCCCCGAAACAAATATCAGAGCAATAAGAGCATAAGCCCCCCAGAGCAATTGTCAGTGAGGAACAGCCTCAAAGGGGGTAGGCACCAGTGAATTCCCTGCGGAGGCTGTCCTGCTGCATGCTTCAAGGATGTTCCCTCAAGATCTGCTGCCACATCACGACCAGACTCAGGGGCTGAGTCCTTAGTTACCACAATTGCTTGGTAACCCTCATCAGTGGGCACAGAGGCACCAAGAGGCACCCCTGAATTCTAGACCTGTTCTTCCTTGCCCCCAATTGTGTAGCAGCACCCTAGTTCTTCACGCCAAGTAGAGTCGATCATCTTTACCAGTACACTCCCCCTGTGTAGCCTTCTGTGCTACCACATGAGGAGCCTAAATAAAACCCGATGATAGCTTACTTTCAGGTTCAGTGGAACCCTTAGCATGTTTCTAATGGAGTGCCCCTCCTCCCTGATGCCCTCTGATCTGAGTGTCCCTTACCGTGTTAGTGAAAGGGGTGTGCTCTGGGCTTCCTTGGAAAACTCAGTCAGCAGTTGGGCTCTGTGGTCTTAAGTAATAAATCCCATTCTAGCACTCCAGCTTCCCTGGTCCTTTGAYCTCTTTCTCAAAACTTCGCCAAGTAGCCAGGTACGAAGGTGCACACCTGTAATCCCAGCTACTTAGGAAACTGAGGCAGGAGGATCACAAGTTCAAGGCCAGCCTAGGTGAATTAGCAAGACACTGTCTCAAAATAAAATTTAAAAAAGGTTAAGGATGTAGCTCAGTGGTAGAGAACTCCAGGGTTCAATCCCCAGGACTAAAAAAAAAAAAAAAGGTACAGAGTTTTGATTTGGAATAACAGAAAAATTCTAGAAATAGACAGTGGCAATGGTTGCACAACAGGTACATAAAAGCATTTAAGAGCCAGGTTTGTTGGCATTAAGTACAAGCCCAGGGACTTGGGGAACTGAAACAGGAGGATTGAAAGTTTGAGACCAGCCTGGACAACTTAGCTAGACTCTGTCTCAAAATAAAACAAAAGGGACTCAGGGCGTATCTCAGTGGTAGAGAGCTTGCCTGGTATATGTGAATCCCCAGATTCCATTCACCACAGAAAACAAACCAACAAACAAAACCCCACCGAAAAAATGAAAGAAAAGAAAAGAAAAAGAAAGATTAAAGTGAACACTTTGATGTCCAATTACCACAATATAAAAAAATCATTATAAACCTTATATATTTTTTAAAAGAGAGTGAGAGAGGGAGAGAGAGAGAGAGAGAGAGAGAGAGAGAGAGAGAGAGAGAGAGAATTTTTTTAATATTTATTTTTTAATTATCGGCGGACACAACATCTTTGTTGGTATGTGGTGCTGAGGATCGAACCCGGGCCGCACACATGCCAGGTGAGCGCGCTGCTGCTTGAGCCACATCCCCAGCCCCATATATTTTTTTATCATTCAAAAAACCCCAAAACTCTCTCAAGGCAGTCCCAGCACCCCCATCCTATTACTGTAGACCATTCCATAGAGCATGTCATGAAGCATGTTAAGTCTAGCTCTAGGTATCCTTCCAGAATGTTATACCCATGTTCCAGGAGAGTGCTTCCCTGTCAATTTGCACCATAGTCTAGCACCCTCACATTTATTGCCTTTGTTTCTTCCAGACCATATTAGCTGGGTCCTAGGGATTGACTATTTTCTCCAAAAGCAAGGACTGCCTTTCTTTCAGACTATACTGAGATCTGACTTTAGTCATTGAGTCCAAAGCAATGTGAGGACTCGGGGGTCATAGCTGAAGAAAACAGATATCCTCTTGCAAGGGTTAAATCTTATCCTAATTTCTGCACTGCTCTTCTACACAAGAGTAGGCTGGCAAGGGTTGCTTCTGCTAGCTTGGAATTTCAGGGGGTTCAGGGGTCWTGGGGAGTTTGATGTACCAGATGTCCCCTCCTAAACCTCAGGGTTCCACTCTTTTTTCATCAGGACCTTGACATTAGCATTAGAGATCTGTTAGGACTGCACACATTCTATCTTTCTTTGCAATTCTGCTACCCTTACAATTAGATTTTGGGTCTTATTTTCGGCACAGTCTGTCCTATCACTGTAGAAGATGAGGGTCTCTTTAATATATGCTTTGGAGGTCTTCTGGCTTTTATTGCTTTTATTAAATTGATTGTTGGCTATCTGCCTCTGACATTTTTTCTAGGCTTTCAAAGCATTGAATGAAAGTCAGCCAATTCAATTTACCATAGCTCCCACAATACTTTGTTTTGTTTTTTTCCAGTACTGGGGATTGAACCCAGGGGCTCTCTACCACTAAGCTACATCCCTAGTCCTTTTGTTATTTTTAGATGGGTACATTAGTCAGCTTTTCATCATCGTGACTAAAATACCCGACAAGAACAACTTAGAGGAGGAAGGATTCATTTTGGCACATGGTTTCAGAGAATTCAGTCCATGGTCAGCCAACTCCATTGCTCTGGGCCTGAAATGAGGTAGCAGATCATGGCAGAAGGGCGTGGCAGAGGAAGCTGCCCAGCTCACGGCAGCTGGGAGGCAGAGGGAGAGAGAGGAAGGGACTGGGAGAAGATAAAYTCTTCAGGGGCACACTCCCAGTGACTTACTTCCTTCAACTAGGTCCTACCTCCCAGGAGTCCATTCAATATCAACCTATCAGTTATTAATCCATCCCTCTGATTGGTTATATCACTGATGAGTTCAGATCCCTCATAATCCAATCATTGCCCCGCCTCTGAATTGCCGTGCATTGGGGACCATGCTTTCAACACATGAGTTTTGGGGGACATTCCAGATCCAAATCATAACACAGGGCTTCTCTAAGTTGCCCAGGCTGAATYGTGAACTTGCCTTCCTCCTGCCTCAGCCTCCCCTAAAGGCATGTACCCCTGCCACCAGCTATAAACCATCCAAGTCCAGAGATACCACATACCTGGATGCTTTCTTTTTCAACCACACATCTTCCCTGTTGAAAGCAGGGAGAGTCTGTGTCATTGTGATGCTACTGCGTGCCAGGCCACCACCCTATCTACCACAAGGAACAGGGTCCTTCTGATTAGTCATGGGTGCTTTCCAGAATCTCATTCTGGGGGTCCTGTTTTTACTGTGACCTGGGTATCAATGTTCTTAGCTTGATTTTCTCTAAACACAGAGCCTGAGACAGGGAATGAGTCAGAGAAGAAGGAGAGTTAAGTATATGAGTTCATTACCAATTTGTTCAGGCCTTTATGAAGAGGGTAGTTTTGTTTTGTTTTGAGACAAGTTTTCATTGAGTTGCTTAGAGCCTTGCTAAATTTCCCAACCTGGCTTCACACTTGCAATCCTCCTTCCTCAGCCTTCCCAGTCACTGGGATTACAGGCATGCACCCCTCCCACCCTCCAGCCCTTCCTGAAGAGCTTAAGAAAGTCTCTCAGAATTATTCACCTCAAGAATAGAAGCTTGGGTTTTTATTCACCGATTCCTCTCCCTGTTGGTGGAAGCTCCCACAGGACACCAAGCCTGCTCTTCTGGCCTGTGAACATGCTGGAGCCCAGAGAACTCCTAGAGCATTAGAGAAGGGCAGGGAGAAAACAGACACAAGGTGCACACTCGAGGCAAATGCTATTGGCACAGATGAGCTGAGCTCACACACGATCATCCATTGAAGCCAGAGCTGAAGTCAGAGGGACAAGGGGAATGTGATGTGCATTCCAGAAGCATCTGGTATGGAAGGTTATTGCAATAATCCTGACAAAATATGCCTGGGAGATAAGAGAAGTGGAGGTGGGGAGAAGTGACGGGTTTTATACACCTTATGTAGAGCCCAGAGAATGGTATGGAAAATGTCAGAGAGGCAGAGACATTGGGGACAACTCCCAGGTTTCTGACCCAAGTAACTGGAGGAATGAAATTGCCATTTACTTAAATAAGGAAGCCTGTGGGAATAGGAGGTGTGGAGGGGGAAAAGCTAAGAGTTCTGCTTTGTTCATGTTCTATTTGAGATCCCTGTTAACATTTGAGAATAGATGTGGTGGTGGTAGTTGTGTATAAGAGTCAGAAGTTCAAGGGAGRGATCATGCCAGGAGATACAAATTGGAACAGATAAGACCAGATGGGATCCCCTAAGGAGTGAATGTGAAGAGAATGGTCATGAGTACCGAGCTCCAGATACTCCAAAGTTTACAGATTGGGGAAATAAGGTTTATTTCCACTGTCTTCTCCCTGTCTATATACTGTAGCTTTCTAATCTCCACCCAATCAGCTAACAAATCATTTTTCAGCATTTGCTATACTAGGTCCTGCACTGGGAACACAGTGAAAGAAAATCAAGGAGCTTTCATCCAAGTGGGGAAAGACAGAGATGTTACCAAGCTAGCTAATAA